TGGCACCCTATGTGCCAGCAAAAGCTGACAGGCAAGCCGGAAGTGGGAGACCACAGGCTGCTGGAGAAAGGAGACGCCCAGCTTCTAGCCCTGCTAGCCTGGACATTATCTGAGAATCTGGAAGGTTCCAAGGCGGGGGCTGCAGGTATACCGCTGCCGACCGACGTTTGCATTTTCCACTCAGGCATCATAAACCAAAGAGCTCTGTGCGTCTCCAAAAAAACAAATAAATAAATAAGAGAGGTGTGTGAATGGAGAGAAGACCAGCTAAGGGTGAAAAGAGAGCACAGCGGGGGGTCTCGGCTGCAAGTAGGAAACATACCAGCAAACAAGCAAGCTGGTCCGCGGTTACCAGAGGCTCGCGGAGAAGCCGGATTAGCCCACTCCTCCTCGACGGGGTGGCCTGGGGAGCCCCACCCAACCTAGAGCACCAGGCAAGTCCAGACTGGATAGAACCATTTTATTACGCCCCCCGCCCTGGACTCGAAGCCCAGGGCTGGCGGTCTGGGAGGACTGTACCACTGACACTCCGAGGGGGCGCGCGGGCTGGTCTACTGCTCAGCAGGAGGGGGTGCCAGAGGACGCGGGCGCTCTTGGACACTCTAGGGCGCGGCGGGCGGGGCTGTGGCAAGGGAGCAGCAACCTTTCTTCCAATGCTTGCTCAGTGCCTCCGCCTTCCGGTTGCCATCGCCAGAGCCAGCTGCTTGCCGGCGGGGACCCTGAGGGCCTGTGAGAGCCGTTCCTCGCAGGGTACCAGCCAAGGTCCAGGGGAACTGGGAGAATGGTTGCCAGGGTCTTCCATGGGGCGTTCAGTTGGCGAACCCCCAGCACGATGCACCGCCGCCTCTGAACTGGACTCCAGGCTGCCGCAGATCTGAGTCATTGTCCCGGATTCAGGGTGCTGACGTGGGGAACCGCCAGCACTGCAAGACCTTGTTACCTCTGGGCGCCCAGGATCCAGTCTGAGATCTAGGAAAGGCAGGACTGCGGGTTAGACTGGGACATGGGATAGGAGGCGGAGAGGGAGACACTAGAGTGAGGGCAGTCAGGATACACCATAGATTGTGAGAGACGGAAATCTAGGTCCTTGGGGCATCTTCTTTACTGAGACCTCTTCCCCTTCTGGATTCAGGACACAGCCCTCAGGAATCATTTCCCACTACCCTCAAAGGAAATCATGCCTCTGACCTTGACCTCGGGAACTCAACCCCTTCTGGCTAAGACTCCCAGCAATCCCACCTCCTACTCTCCTCCTTTCCCTCAGCAAGTTGTAGTCTTTGGGAACTAGACTCCTCTACTTCCTAGGACCCCAACCCCCTTTCCCCTTGGAGACCCACTATGCTTTGCCCTCCTTTCCTTCTAAAGACTCAGGCTTACTGCAGACCCCTTTCCAACTTTTCCTCCCAGCACTTACGAAAAGCCCCACTGAAATGCACAATGACTCCCATTCTGGGACCCTTCCACCTCGCCCCACTTCTGAAAAGACCAGGCTCAGTCCAAAAGTATTGCTACAAAACCCTCCACACTTCATGTGAGGCGAGTCTATAGCTTCTCAACATATCCTTCATCTAGCTCTACATATTCCTGGAGGCAGTGTTTCCCTTTCGATAGCCCTCCCTGAAGAAGTCACTCTTCCAGTTGCAGGGTCGAAAGGGCAGCGTTGCTGTCCTCCGGGCATTCAAAACTCACATTCCTCTGTTTGGGGGAACAAAATACAATCTGAAGAGACAAGATCGGGGTAATAGAGTAGATAAATTCTCATAGGCCAGCCCTTGCTGCACTTGAAGAAAGAGCAGGTTCTCTGTGGTGATGGAAACAAATTCCTTGGCTCAAATTCCGTGGCCTTTTTCTCATCAATGGAGTTTTCAATTTTCTTCCAACTTCTTCCTAGTAAGCCCCCATGACCATCCTGTGTCCTTGAGAAAATCTATCAATATAACCCCTTTGGGGTGCTAAAAACCAGTCACCATAACCTTCTGAGCTGACCTCTCAGCCTGGAATTTAAACCTGGCAACAGATAGATCCCTTTGGAATCTACTGTTCTGACTGGACTATTTTTAAGGCATCCTATGGAAACTAAGGACTAAATGTATTCCAGAGGGAATTTGTATGCAGGCATCTACTGATTGCAGAGACACATTTAAACATAGGGTTTTTTTTTTTAGAATAAACCCATGGAAGTATGAGCTGGACCCTAGTAGCAATACTTTTTGACTTGCTTAATACAAGGAAACTCTCCCAATAAACTTCAACTCCCAACCCATGCCCACTGAATCTACCAGCTACTTCCCACCGAGAATCTGCCCCTTCCATTCTGTAACCTTATTGTTCCTCAGTGGTGTGGCTTCACTGAGGAGGTTGCAGGGGTGAAGGGGGTGCTACCTGGACCAGGTTAGAGTGTCAAAGGGAATGGTACCAAAATGACTGTCTATGAGATTTTTGAATGTTATAGCAGAAATGAATTTTGTTTAATAAAAACACCCCCGCCCATAGTTATGAACAAAAACATTTTTCCTAAGCCCAGCTTCACTCATTCACTGCCGTGGAGTCATTTCTGGCTCATATGGACAAGGTAGAATTGTCTCTGTGGATTTCTGAGATTGTAACTCTACAGGAGTAGAAAGCCTCACCTTTCTCCCTCAGAGTGGCTGGTGATTTCGAACTACTAGCAGCCCAACATATTGCCAAGGCTCTGCAGCCCAGCTTACAAATCAATATACTTACAAGGCTAGAATTATATGCATTTCTTACTTTTTGAACATTGGATGCCTTGGGTCAGAGCTGTCATTATTACCCAATTACAATGAAGCTTCCACTCACACGGTTTGGTTTCCTTTGTACCCTATAAGTACTTGATGTTTCTCCCTGATTTTGTCAAATTTTTTGGTGTTTCAGCTAAATGTAGAAATTACAAAATGATTTTGTTGTTACTGTTCATGTAAGCTAAGAAATATTACATTTAAGCACTTTTCAACTATAAAAAAAGAAAACTAAAAAAAAACCCAACTCTGCCATGGAGTCAATGTGGACTCACACTGACTGTGACTGTTTAAGGGAGTAGAAAGCCCTGGCTTTCTCCTGAAGAGCAGCTGGTGCTCGAGAGATGTCACTGTTCTCCCTCAAACAGATCCCTGATTTCCAGCCCCACCTACATCACTACCACCCTGCCCCTGGTATACTCCCCACCTCTTTTCTGGGTATCAAGAGGCCTGCAGAGCACGAGATGTAGGCGGGGACCCACAGAGCGGATCCGCTCCATGACTTGGGCCTTGGTGAGACCATTCGTGGACTCCCCATTGATGTGCAGCACTAGGTCGCCGGCCTGCAAGAGCATGAGTCAGGGGCTGTTATAGGAAGGGGTCACAAAGGGTACCCAAAGGGCAGGCTTCAAGACAGCACCTGGAAAAGAGCGGAGAGCGTCTTGGTGCTCACCTGCAACCGGCCACAGCGCTGTGCCGGGCTATCCTCCAGTAGCCCTCGCACGGTCACCGGCACGTCCCCAGCTACATCTCGACCCCCACTAAAGGTGAGGCCAAAGCCTGAGGGACCTCGGATCAACTCCACATAAAATTGACCAGAAGTCTGGGATGGTTTCGAAGCACGACGTGCCTTATCCTGGGTCACTCTGGGAAGCATCTTACTGGTACCCATGATCTCTGAGTGACGATGCTAGACAAAGGACACGAGAGCACTTAGGTTGCCAGCCCCAAACACAGTGGCCTGGAATAAGAACGAGGACAATACCTTGTGCCGGTGTCCCACAACAGAGGCATGAGGTAGGTGACTGTCTGTGAACTCTATATCCGCAGGGTCCAGCTCACAGGCACCTAGGATGTGGAAGACAATGAGAGCCCACTTAGGGGACAACCTATGGGAACTGCCTAAATTTTCCCCTGAAATTAACATTTTATCCCCATCTGTTTAAACTCAGTAACTATCTAAGCCCCGCCCCTCAGGTAGTTGTCTAGGCCCTGCCCACACGAATAGCAGTCTTGACCCCACCCTCTTAATTAGCATCCTACTCTTGGACTTTTGAATTATCCTCCAGTCCACCCTCCCTCACTCTAGTGACATCCAACCCCCACCTTCAATTAACACCTTTAGATTCATCCCGGGGGTGATAATACTGGACTTACTGCCAAATAGCCTCCTGACCTAAATGCCATTTTATCTCTGCCATTTCAAGCTCTTCACCAATATGTTGATAGAGCCCCTTGATTCAGGCCCTGCCCCAGGACTAACTGCCCACCTCTGGAACAGTTCAGAGTCCGCATCCTCAAAAATAACCCTCCAAAGCCCGCTCAGAGGGAGAACCATGCAACCCCGAACCCTCAATTCATCTTCTGGCTTGTCTGCTCGAATGACCATTCTCGAACGTTCTGGGATTCTCCCAAGGTTCTCCCTGCTTCCGATCACCTTTCGAGCCCAACCCCTGAATTTGGGTCACAAGGGGTCAGAATCCACTCTATAGCAGTGGGGTTGCATGGTTGCTTGCTTGGTTGTTTGGGCCCCAGTAACAATCCAGGTCCTACCACTCTACCCACTCATCTCCCACCTCCGGGGGAAGACCCCACCTCCTTCACGCACCTTCCTTGGGGCGCAGGCGCAATGTGGCGCCGGCCCTGCGAACCAGTGCGGCCACATCCGCTGCAGCTCTAGCCGCCAGGGGTCGCGCGTCCAGCCGCGCCAGGAACTGCGGGGCGCTGGGGCCCGCCCGCGGAGGGAGGCTGCGGCCTGCGTGCAAGAAGGGGAACAGGAAAAAAAAAAAAAGAAGGGGAACAGGTCAGCGGCAGACTCCTAGCCGTGGCCAGCACCCTCACTTCCAGATGACTGAGCCCTAGAAATGCCACCTCGAGATCTTCGGAGACGCTCTTACCACTATCTACAGTTTAGAGGTCACTGATTACCCCTCAACATCTCTGCGCACCCCGACTCCTGGGAGTACCCCCTCATCCCTCTTTCCCCCACAATATCCCTGGAGATGGCTATTTGACTGCAATATTCCCAGACATCTCTGCCGACCCTTATCAGTATCTCAGACTGTCCCCAACGAGTCTAGGACCTCGATTACCTAATAAACTGAAGTTCCAAATTCTCCCCCACAATATCTGCAGGGACCTTAACTCCCTCGTACATTTTAGAGAGTAAGGTCTGTCCCCCACGTACCCTAGACCTTGGTTCCCAATCCATATGAGGGTGCTCAAAAGAGTTCACGTAAAAAAAAAATGTTTTTTTAATTCACTTTCCCTCCTCCATGAACTTTTTGAAGCCCCTTTATATGCCCCCAGGGAACTCCAGCAACCTCCAAAATTCCCTCAGAGGCCCCCTTGCTCCTGGTAGCCCACTTAACTCCTGGCTCCCTTTGCACTTAATTCCAGCGAGCCCTCATTCCCCATCCCACCACAATTCACAGACACCCCTGATTGTCCAATTGTCCCCAGTGACCCCCGGCAGTCACCCCGCCCCGTCCACCTCCCCGCAGATGCTCCTGAGAGCCCTCGGTTCTGCGGTGCGGCCCCTCAGTGTGGGAGGGCCCTGCCGCTGCCGCCGCCGCTAGGGCGCCTGAGCGGCCCTGTTTACAACCTGCGAGAAGGAAAAGGTGAGCAGACCCGAGGCGTGAGGCGTGTCAGGACCTGCGCCCCTTCCCTCTCTCCCTTGCCCCCTCCTCGTACCTCCTGTGCTCCCCCTAGGGTCCACAGCGCCCCGCGAACGCGCCTCCATGGCCAGGAGTCCGCAAGGACAAGCGAAGTCCTGGCAGCAACGCCGTCTGGGCGCTGGGGCAAGCTCACCTGGCGACCCGCCCAGATCCAAACCCTGCCGAGCCCGGCTGGTCCCGTGCTGGCGATCCGACCCGCGCCTTGACCTACCTGGCGGGCAGTTTGGGGCCCTGGCTGTGAGAGCCAGCTTGGGCGCTTCGCTCGACCCAGCCTCAAGAACTGTGTGTGTTTCCTGAAGACGCGGAGCCAGCCTTCTACTTCTACTTCTAGCAAGGAGACTTGTTATTCTTCAGAAGGGCACGTGCAAGGCCCAATTTTTTTTAAATGGGGGATTGGAAAACTGGAACCTGAGCTGGCTATGGAATGCTGGGGCCTCGAGCAAAGCCTTGCACACAATAGGCACTTGGGGATTTTGCTAGGTATCTTTGCTTAAAGTAATAGGGACGTGGAAAGGTGTGGTGGAGCTGGGAGGAGCCTGCCTTTGGAACCTTTGGGGTAAAATGGGGAAGGGGAGACTCGGGAGTCTGAGGAGGCTTTGAAGGTTCTAGGTTGCATGGGTCATTAATGTGAGGGGAGAAATAAAGGGCTAGCTAGGTTTCCAAAGTGGAGCCCGCCGAAACAGGCCCCAAAGAGGAGCCGCGTGGGCAGAATGTTACAGTAGTGGGAGAAGTAAGGGGGTTGCAGTGAGGGGAAACCTGCGATTGCCACTTTGCAGAGGAAGAAATAGAGTCCAGAGGACTCAGAAACCTCAACCAACAGCAGAACAACACTCCCTTGATCCACTAAGGGCTGTGCATCTACTGGGTCTTCATCCTGACTGCTTGGGAAACTTCTTGAATCCCCTTACAAGTCCAATATTGTCAAAGGTAAACTGGCTGAAAATTCCAGCTTTTACTGCTCCCCAAGGCCCTGTCACACACACCCCTCCCTTTAATCTGATATCTGTCTTGAGTTCAGTTTCAGGCTATGGGACTTGCATCACTGCCCCCACCCCACCCACCCGTCTATGTGTCTCCAGCCACTGCATGGGGCTGTCACAGCTCCCAAATAGTCATACTGATTGTCCCCTTTGCCCCTGCTGTATCCTGTCTGAAAGGCCCTTCCCAACCTGTTGTCTCCCTGAAGTCCAGTTCAAAGACTCCAACCCTCCATGATTCCATTTCAGAGAAGAACAACAAAAACAAAACTCACTGCCATAAGATTATTTTTGTTGCTACTTCATAACTAAAATTTTGCTACTGTTATGAATCAGTCAACCCTGTGAAAGGATCGTTCACCACCCCCACCCCCCAGGGGTCGCAGCCCACAAGTTGAGAACCGCTGCTATAGGACATAGTAGAACTGCCTCTGTGGGTTTCTGAGACTCTTTATGGGAGTAGAACGCCTGTCTCCCAAGGAGAGACTGGTGGTTTTGAACTGCTACCCTCGTGGTTAGCAGCACAATGTGTAACCACTATGCCACCAGGGCTCCTCTTCAGACAAGAAAATAGATGTTAATATTCTGATGTTGTAGATTGAATTCGATTAAGGAAAAAAAAAACCTCACTGCCATTGAGTCAACTCTGACTCATAGCAACCCTATACGACAGGACAGAACTGCCCTTTTGGGTTTTTGAAACTTTAATTTTTTATGGGTGCAGAAAGTCTCACCGGAGTGACTGGTGGGAACCATTTGCTCACCTTTCAGTTAGCAACTACATTATCATGGCTCCTTTTTAGCCTGAATAGAGTTTCCCCCAAATATGTATTTCAAATCCTCTCCCCGATTCCTGTGGCTATAATCCCATTTAGGAATGGGCTATCTTCCTTATGTTAACCAGGTAATATTAGTGTAGAAAACAAAACAAACAAATAAACAAGACTAATTTCCAACAAGTAAATTCTGACTCTAAGTGGCCAGGGCACCCTGTTTTATTATAGGGTGTATCTTAAATCAATCTCTTTGAGGATGCACAAGAAATGAACCCAGCAACTGAGCAGAAGAGGTTGAGGAAGGTCGATGCCACATCACATGAAGATCGCCAGGGAACCAAGGAATAAAACCTTGAGTTGCCTGAGAGTTGACACAGAGAAAAATCTTCCTCTTACAGCTACCACTCTGGCTTCTAGCTTCCTAAACTATGAGAAGATACATTTGTTTCTTAAAGCCATTGGTGTTAGTCTGGGTAGACTAGAGAAACCAATTCATAGATACTCATATAAAAAAGCTTTATACAAATGTTTTGAGAACGATGATGGCAACAAATGTACTAATGTGCTTGACACAATGGATAGATGTATGGATTGTGATAAGAGTTGTACGGGCCCCCAAGAAAATGATTTTTTTTAAAAAAAAGAGCTTTATATACAAGAGCAATTGAATATTGAGAACACATCCAAGCCCAGTCTATATCAAGTCCACATACCCAATATTAGCTCATATGTCTGATACCAAACTATAAATTCCTCTTCAGACTCATGCAACACATGCAATGATGCCTAATGCAGGGAGATCACAGGCCAGTGGGTGGAAAGTCTTGTGGATCCAGTGGCAGTGGAAGCATCTCAGCTCTGGCAGGTGTCTCCAGGGCTCTGTGGCTCCTTCAGCTCCAGAATTCTAGCATTAGCTCTATGTGTCTTGTCAGCAGGAATGCCTCCCAGGGAATGAGCATGTGTCCCGCCTCCAGTAAGCTATTTATCTCCTTAGTGCCTCCAAATGAGGTCATCAAGCTGTGATCTGATTGACAGCTAAACTCTACACCTTCACTCTTAAGTCTCAAATTGACAACTGATTATGTAACTACCACACCATCTATTCTTGGCATTTCTATTATAGCAGCACTGGATAACTATGATGGTTGGAGAGAGTAGAAACAGAATAACAGTGTTTCTTTTGTGTGGTCTGAATGTCAGGCTTACTTCTTTTCCTTTGTACTGTACTGTATTTACCCAAATGCATCGATGAGAAAACCTCATCTCTGATGTTCTCTTCTCCTTTGTTCAACAAATAAATGACCACTATAGACCAGGACCTAACCTGACGGAATACACAGCAATCAAATTAACTGCATCTGTGGAAAGAGATGATGGAGAAGCTCAACAAGAGCAGCCAAAACAAGGCCACACACAGGATAACTGTGGACCATACCATCAATTGTTCATATGCAAGTTCACGTGGAAATGAAAGAAAATTAAAACAAGTTCACCAAAGCCAAACATGACCTTCTGTCTATTCCACCTAAATTTAGAGATCATCTCAAGAACAGATTTGACACACTGAACGCTAATAACAGAAGACCAGAGGCATCATGAGAGGACATCAAGAACATCATACATGAAGAAAGCAAAAGTTCTTTAAAAAGAAAGAAAAGACCGAAATGGATGTTAGAAGAGACTCTGGAAGAAGGAAAGGGACTGGAAGAAATGAAGTAAAAGAGTTGAATAGAGGATTTCAAAGGGCAGCTCAAAAGGATAGCGTAAAGTATTATACCGAAATGTGCAAAGATCCGGGACAAGAAAAGCAAAAAGGAAAAACATGCTCAGCATTTCTCAAGTTAAAAAAACGCAGAAAGAAATCAAGCCTCGAGTTGAAATACTGAGTGATGCAGAAAAGAAGATTGAAGGAATACAAAGAATCACTGTACCAAAAAGAATTGATTAGCATTCAATTCTTTCAAGAAGTAACAAGAACCAATGGTACTGGACAAGGAATTCTTAGCTGTCCTTAAGGCACTGGCAAAACAAACAAATAAATAAAAACAGAGCTCCAGGAATTGACACAGGATCAGTTAAAATGTTTCAAAAACAAATGGAGGAATCCCTGAAAGCACTCACTTACTTGCTCATGCAAATAAAAATGGAAGAGAGCTATCCAGCCAATTGCCTGGAAGGGATCCATATTTTTACCCATTCCAAAGAAATGCGACCCAACAGCATGCAGACATTAGAGAGCAATATCATTAATAGCACATGTAAACAACATTCTGTTGGAGATCATTCAAAAAGCCTAATTCAGAAGAGGACATGGCATGAGGGATGTCATTGCCAAGCATCAGGTGGGCCTTGGCTGACAGCAGAGAACACCAGACAGATGTTTACTTGTGGTTTATTGGCCATGTAAAGGCATTTACTGTGGATAACAATGTGAAGAAAGAGAATTCCAGAACACTTTATTGTGCTCAGGCAGAGCCTGTGCATAGGCCAAGAGGCAGTCATTCTAACAGACAAGGGAATACTGACTGATTTAAAATCGGGAAAGGTGTGCATTATCAGAATTGCCTTTGTAGTCCATAATTCTCCCAACAGTTTCTTCAAGGCTTTTACTATAGTCACCTAAAAAGTCTTCCAGCATCCACCCATTATCCAATTCCAAAACCTCTTTTTTCCCCTTTTTAAAATCATTATATTGGGGCTCATACAACTCTTATCACAATCCATATATACATCCATTGTGTCAAGCACATTGGTACATTTGTTGCCCTCATCATTCTCAAAACATTTGCTTTCTACTTGAGCCCTTGGTATCAGCTCCTCACCCAAACCTCTTCTGTATGTTTGGTGCTTGTTACAGCACCACCCGACTCTGTTACCAAATCCGATCTTTGTCTTCTAGTGCCGTCAGAACAGGACCACCGCAAGCAGATGGCTTTAACAAATGCATTGTCTCACTGTTTAGGAGGCTAGGAGTCTGGATTCGGGGTGCCAGCTCTAGGGGAAGGCATTGTCTCTGGGTCACCCTGGCTTCTTTCCTTGGCTCCTTGGTGATCTTCATGTGGCATGACATCTATTGTCCCCATCTCTCCTTTGTGCTGCTTGCTTAATGTACTCTTTCATATTTCAAAAGAGATGGTCTTAAAGCACATCGTATACTAGTACTGCCTTATACACACAACAAAGAAACCTTATTTCTAAATTATATTTCATCTACATATTTGGGAGGAACACAATTCTATCCACAACACCTTCTCCTCCACAGCCTAGTCCCTTGGCACTACCTCTGGGAACTTCCCCAATCCTGCAGGATAGTGCTGGTCACTAGA